AAAAAATAAGACCCTAAAATTTAAAGATTCGCTCCAAAACTGGGAATCTGAGATGAATACATATCTCTCAGATGAGGAAGTAGAAATAGCAAATAAATAATATGAAAAAGTATTCACCATTATTGGTCATTTGTGAGGTGCAAATTAAAACAACAATGAGATTCTATCTCACCTCATAAATAATGGCTACTCTCAGGAAATCAACTGATAATAAACGCTAGTGGGAATGTGGGGAAAAGGAATGCTCCTCCACTGTTGCAGTGTAGACTCCCCTCTTGGTATCTTCCTGAGAGTATTCAAAGCATTATCCCACAGTGATATACACACACCCATGTTTATTGTGGCACAAGCTAAATCTTGAAATACCCATCAAGCTATCAATGGATAAGAAAGCTATTTTGTTTAATGGAATGGAGTGCCACTCTACCAGAAAGAATGATAAGCTTGAGATATTTCTAGCTAAATGGATGACTTTGAGGCCATACTTTTAAGTAAAGTAAATATAACACAAATATATAAATATCAAATTGGCTCTCTGCTGTGAGAAACTTTAAGTGGTAGAAATAAGGACCAAAAACATAATAGACACTGTGAAGTAGGAATAAAATGTTCAGATGGGAAGGGGTGGGGGTATTTTGATCTTCATTTATATTTCGGGTCTCTCATATAAAAGAACTTATGTGATATGTAGACTTGTGTATCTGATTTACTTCGCTTAACATTAGGGTCTCAAGGTGTCTCTGTTTTCCTTGAATTTTTTTTATCAATACATTTTAGATATATACAACAATAACATTCACCATAGGGTGTCTGTACCTGTGCATGTTATATCTTATATCTTTTTTCTCCTGTTCCTCTCCCCTCCTTTCAGCTCCTCATCCCTGCCTTATTTACAAAATGTTTCTCTTCCCTGTTTCCCTTTTATTCTTTTTTTCCCTGTCCTTCCCTTCCTTTTCCCCTCTGCCCTCCCTTGTTCCCCTTCTCATTTGAACATTTTTTTCATTTCCCATTATCTTATTATTTATTTTGGTCTTTATTTACCCTTTTGGTTTCTCACATGAGAGAAACAACGCAGTAGTTAGACATCTATGTATGACTTATTTTACTTGAGAGTTTGGTCTCAAGGTGCATTCCTTTAGCAATAATGTCTTATTTATCCTTCTTTGTGGCTGAGTTGTACTCCATTGTGTATAAGTACCACATTTTCTTTTTGTCTTTTTCCTTTTTATTGGTACCAGGGATCGAACTCACGACTGCCTGCTTGCAAGGCAGGCACTTATGCCGCTGAGCTAAACCTCCAGCCCCGAGGACCACATTTTCTGTATCAATTTGTCTTGATGGCCATTCAGGCTGCTTCCAAGATTTAGCTGTTCTGAATTATGCTGTTAGGAGCACAGCCTCCTGCAGCAATTGTCCTTGTCCTTCATGACACAGTTCTACCACTTCAATGGCAACTTTATTCTAAATCAAAAGCAGTAACTAATTCCCCAGAGCTATCAATTATGTGTTTATTTTGTGGTACTGCAGATTGAACCTGGGGCCGTTGCAGTGAATTATTTCCCTGGCTCTTTTTTTTTTTTTTTTTTTTTTTGTCTTTTTCCTTTTTATCGGTACCAGGGATCGAACTCATGACTGCCTGCTTGCAAGGCAGGTGCTTATGCCGCTGAGCTAAATCCCCAGCCCCTCCCTGGCTGTTTTTAAAATTTTTTATTTTGAGACATAAATCTCACTAATATGATACATTGCCCAGAGTTGGCTTGAATTTGTGACACCCTTATCTCAGTCTCCTGAAGTGATGGATTACAGGCACGTGCCTACACAACCAGCTGGTATTTTACCTTGATACTGTCTTAGAGCACTGTTTGGGTTTTGGGGTTCACAGTCCTCTCCTCCTCTGCCTGTCCTCCTATTGAGGGGCTGCAGTGTGCACAGTGGATGCTTGAGAGGTTTTGTTGGAATGCACTTTGTGCTGTCTCCTCTCAGGTCCTGTGCAGGGCCCACATCAGGACAGACTGCCAGGCTGTGGATGTGAGAGTGCTCAGGGCTCTGCCTGTGCCTCAACACCATACAGAAGCCCGCCTGTCTGCACCTCATGGGACCAGAAACCTTGGCTGGCAGTATTTTCAAAGAGTGGCAGGGAAGGTGTTCACTGTGTGTCATTTCAAAACAAGGAGGACTCCATACAACTAGGAAAGGCAGGGATAACTGGTATTTCCTTTTGCATTGCTACAGGAAACTGAATCAAACAGAAATACTACAGGCAGTCAGACAGTGTTTGGCCCTTGAAGGAGCCAGGGCAGAAGACCAGATACTTTGCAACTGTGGAAGAGACAGACCTCTGTTGTGATCCAGACCTCAAGACTAAGATAAAACAAACACATCCACAGACTTTCTAAGGATAAACATCAGGGATTGACATTCTACATAAGTATTTTCAAAGTATTTTCAAAGAGTGGCAGGGAAGGTGTTCACTGTGTGTCATTTCAAAACAAGGAGGACTCCATACAACTAGGAAAGGCAGGGATAACTGGTATTTCCTTTTGCATTGCTACAGGAAACTGAATCAAACAGAAATACTACAGGCAGTCAGACAGTGTTTGGCCCTTGAAGGAGCCAGGGCAGAAGACCAGATACTTTGCAACTGTGGAAGAGACAGACCTCTGTTGTGATCCAGACCTCAAGACTAAGATAAAACAAACACATCCACAGACTTTCTAAGGATAAACATCAGGGATTGACATTCTACATAAGTCTCCATCACTCTAAGGAAGCCAGGAGTCACCATCCCAAATCCTACAGGAAAAGCCACTGCTCTTTATGCATGCCTGCTTGCTATGTAAGTCGCTTCCCCATTGGTCTCCAATTTAATCAACTTTACCAGAGCCATTAATCTTATTGGCTGGCCATAGTTCTATCCCACCTCATGCCCAGCTTGGAGTTTCCATTTCCCCCCCCACCTTAGACTCACTTGACCTCGGGGTTTTGCTCTATAAAACCCCTAGAAAAGACAGGCTCCTTGGCAACTCACTGGGAACCCCTTCAGTCTCACTCAGACAGAAGCTTTCTTTCTCTCAATAAATATATTCTGCTCTTAACCTCCATGACTCCTAATATTTATTTTTGATTTTAGAGAACACAAACTTGTACCAGACATCTAGTAGGCTGGTAGTTTCTTTTCCCTATATCACCATCACCATTTTTAATTTTTTTTAAATGGGAGGAGCCAGAGTTTCAAAAAGTCATAAAATTAATTGTACACATGCATCACATTTGGAAGACCCAAACAAAAGCAATTTACAAGCCCTGGCTCATCTTGATAGTTACTTGCACTAATCCTGTAATTTCTATTTGCTAAACACTATTATTTTCCTTCTCTGGGCATTAAGCAACTTGGGAAAGGATTCCAGAAAACGTCAACACTTATTAATAGTGACACTCATATTATTAATACTGTTTATGTTTGTTAATAGCCAGTATTCTGAATACTTGGATCTGGTCTTAGCAAAGAATGTATTCATAGGATTGCAGCCCAACACAGCCCTGAATGGTCTCCAGTGGGAGTCAGTTTGCAGCCTGCCCAATACTGACCTCACTTCCCAAGGCTGAGGGAGATCTAGCTCCTTTTCCAGCTGCCCTTTGGGTTCCTTCCCTCTTCCCAGGGCCTCATCACTGACATGCACTAGGATGAGACAGGGACGGCACACTGCCAGGTTCTGGCCAGCAGCCTCATTTCTTGAGCGGAACAGTAGCAGCTATTAATAATGCCTCCTTCTGCGGCCTCTATGCCTGCCCAGCCGAGCCCACTTCCTCCCAACCTCTTGTAAATAATTACCCTCATCAACCCTCTCTCTGAGCAGTAAGAAGGAAGAGGGCATCACCCTGGCTCTTGCTTGCTCTCCTGCAGAGGTCCTTAGATTTTTAGTTTCCCTGAGAGTCTCCCTAGCTGGCACTGCCAGGAAGATCCTAAGTTTGAGGTCCAGCTTGCGCAATTTAATGAGACTCTGTCTCCAAAAATGAAAAACAGTCTGGGGATGAAGCTCAGGGGTAGAACCTAGAATTGAGGTAAAAGAGCAGAAGTAAAAACTAGGTAGAAAGGAAACAAAGAAAATCAGAATTTTTAAAATGAAAAAATATGGCTTCAGGATACAGCCCTGTTTAGTATTTATCCCCCACCTCTCCTTCCAGAATGCAATAACCCTCAGCAATTCTATTTCATTAGCAAATGGGTCCAGCCATCCCCTTTTTACCTGCAAATTGTCCTCTTTTACATGATAGACCACCTTTCCACATGTAAATTCGCTTTCCTCTTAAAAGGGTGGGTGTCTTCCTCCACCCATCAAACCAAGACCAGGACTATACCTTTAGTCACTCAGGTGGGTGACCAGGACTTCCTGACCGATCTGCTCCAAAAAAGTTCTTTGTTCTTTCCACATACACTTGCTATGTGACCTGCTTCCCCACTGGATCAATACTATCTAAGTGGCTATACTTATAACCTTATTGGTAGCATCTGGTTTTGTTCCACTGTTACAGGCAGCTGAACTAGTTAGAAATATTATAGGCAGTCAGACAAGGCTGGGCCCTCAAAAGAACCAGCAGAGGACCAGATGTCTTGTGACCTCGGAGGAGACAGATACCTCCCAATGTGGGCCCAACCTCAAGAGAAAAGGCAAAACAAATGCAGCCATACCCTATATAAATATTAGGGATCGATATTCTAAATAGGTAGGGATCTCCTTTGAGGATGCCAGGAGCCAGCATCCCAACCCCCTACAGAAAGAGTCACTGCTCCATAAGAATGTTCACTTGCTGTGTGACTTGCTTCCTCATCTGTCCCTGATTTGGTCAATTTTACCTGAACAATTAATCTTATTGGTTGACTATGATTCTGTCCCACTTCATGCCAATCTGCATTGAGAGCTCCCAATTTTCTCCACCTTGGACCTGTTGTACCCCAAAAATGAGCCCCCAAAATGGTGTCCAAAAATGGGCAAGACGTCTTTTTAAAGAAAAAGGAGTGCTTTTTATTTATCCTGGCACCAGTGACACAGTGCAGTTGGAGTTTACAAGGCTGTGCAACTCGCTTAAATTTTTGACAGACTTTTATAGAAAGGACAATTACAAAGTAAATTAAGAAGACCTTTGTTCCCTTTGCTTGAGGACAGAGAAGTTTTGCAGGAATTTACAATCTTTGGTCAGCTAAGGAATGAGGAAGACCTTTGTTTCCCTTTGCTTGAGGACAGAGAAGATTCCCAGGAATTACAGACCTTTGTCAGCTAATTTCAACACTTAATTTTAGATAACATCTGTCCTTTGCAGATGGTTAACATATCAATCAGGTCACCCAGGAAGATGGTACATATAGAACAGTATGACTGAGCTACAGTTATTTAACAACAATGTGGTTAATGCCCTAGGGTGTCTGGTTGTAGAAATAGTTGCATTTGCAAAGGGAATTCACAAGTAATTTGGCCATATAACTTGGGCATTGACAAACATAGTACAGGGTGATGAAGCTCTTTTTTGCTAGTGTACAGCATTCCCCACTGATTTTTTTTTTTTTTTGTCATTTTCCTTTTTATCAGTACCGGGGATGGAACTCATGACTGCCCGCTTGCAAGGCAGGCCCTTGATCCAAATCATTGGCTCATGGGGTTTTCAGACATAAGTATCTTTTCATAACCTTGTGTCTTTAAAATCATGAGCTTTATAGTTTGAACACAATCTTTGACATAGTTTACCAATTTGTGTATAAGGTCTAACAGTTACACAGATGAGGACAATTAACAAAGGTCCTGCGGCTGCCATTATTAAAGCTGTTAACCAAAGGGAGAAAGAAAACCAACATTTAAACTAGCTCTGTTTTGCCTGCCTGGTTTGTTCTTGCAATTGCTTTTTGAGGTTAGCCATGCTCTGCCTGATGATTCCAGAATGACTGGCATACAAGCAACAATTTTCTCCTAAAGCCAGACAGAGGCCTCCTTCCTTTAGGAACAAGAGATCTAAACCCTGCCTGCTTTGTAAAACCATCTCAGCCAGTGAACTTAAAGAATCTGAAAGTCATAAGATTACATGGTTGAGAGCACAGGAAAATAGGGTCTCCCGGAAAAGGTAATGATCTCCTTGGGGTCTCCATAAGGGAGAATACATAAGAACAAGATTATCAGATACATTTGGTAATCTTAAGCCTTAAAGAGTCCTCGGAGGGCACGACAGTCCACTTGTCTGTAGGTTGATTGCTGTCAGAGGCCAGGACCGGCTTGAAGTGGGAATGATGAATCTAGGCAGGCTTTCCAGTGACTTTGACAGCAGTTGGAGTGCTGAGGACCACAGTGTAGGGATCTTTCCATCACAGCTCAAGAGATTCACAGGGATGCCTCTTACTGAGGACTAACGTCCCAGGACTAGTGTCCTAGCTCTACTGCAGGGCATTTGTCCTTGCAGTGGGCTGCAGGCGGAGGATGTTGTTGTCCGAATAGCCAGTAGATGGAAGTCAGAACTGGCTGAAGGGCCTGGAGGGACTTAATAAGATCTTGATTAGCTAAATCAGCTAATTTTTCTCAGAAATTTTAGGAATAAGAAGAGGAGGTCTCCCATATAAAGCCTCAAACGGGGAAACACCTGCAACATAGCGGGTACATCGTGCATGCAAAAGAGCAAAAGGAAGGAGACTCATCCAGTTCTTGCCAGTTTCCAAGGCCATCTTAGTTATTACAATTTTAAAAGTCTGGTTCATCCTTTCTACTTGTCCTGAACTTTGAGGCCAGTAAGCACAATGGAGTTTCCAATTGATCTGCAAAGCTTAGGTTAGTTTGTGAGTTGTCTGGGCTATAAAAGCCGGGCCATTGTTGGACCCCATGGATAAGGGGAGGCCAAATTGAGGAAACTGCTATCAGAGCTGACTCAGACTTAGTAGGCAAAGCTTCAACCCATCCAGTGAAAATATCTATCATTACTAATAAGTACTTATTCCCTTGAAGTCCAGGCTTTTCCATTTTTGTGAAATCTACTTTTCAGTGTTCTCCAGGCATGGTGCCATGATAGCAAGTGGTTTCTATTTGTTTCAGTCACTTTGGGTTCACTGATTGACATTGAGGGCATCTGAGGCTCACAGACTGGGTAAGCTTTGATATTAGCCCACAGGGATTGCTCAAAGTTGACCTGCCAGATGCAAGTCTTTTCAAGTGTAAATGGGCTCTGACAGAGTAGGTGGGATCAGCAGTAATGTCTGGGCTATCTCAATCCCCACTGATTTTATGGCTGCCTTTCAGACGGTGGTGTCTGCCAAATTATTTCCTTGTATAACAAGGTCATCTCCTGCCCGATGGGCTCTACAATGGATAATAGCCACTTTCCCTGGCATCTAGATGGCAGCCAACATGCCCAAAATTTGGGGAGCATTTTTAATCTTTTGGCCCCCAGAAATCAATAATCCCCATTTCTGGTAAATAGCTCCATGAACATGGGCAGTAGCAAATGCATATTTGCTATCAGTATTTAAATCTCTACCTTCTGACAACTTGAGGGCCTCAGTGAGGGCATTGAGTTTAGCTCACTGGGCCAATGTCCCTGGCTCCAAGGTTTGTTCCTATAGAATCTGAGAGTCGTTAGTGATGGCAGCTCCCATGACCCATTTACCTTGATAGATGTAACTGCTTACATCAGAGAAGTACGATGGAACTCCAGATAGTGGCTCATCTGTCAAGTCTGGTCTCCAATACAGTCATGGAGGGGCAAGGAGGGGTCATCATCAGGCAGCAGAGTAGCAGGGTTTAAAGCTGCTGTCCCCTTGAAACTGATGGTAGTCAGATCCAGAAGTAATGCCTGATAATGCATGACTCAGGAGTTGGGCAGCCATTGGTCTGGTGGAGCCTTGATGAGAATCTCCAGCAAATGGGAGGGGACAATTAAGAGTTTCCATCCAAAAGTCAATTTTTGAGCCTCCTCTACCAGGAGGGCCACTGAGGAAATCACCCTCAGACAAGGTGGCCCTCTGGCTGCCACATAATCAAGTCTCTTGGAAAGATAGGCAATAGGCCTCTGCCAAGGTCCCAAACTCTGGGTCAGTCCTATGGCTTCTAGAAATTCTTGCACTTGCTTTTTAGTCACAGGGACTGGAATCTGTTGCACCTGTTGGGAGGAAAGAGTCTATTTTCCTTCATGGATTTGATAACCTAAGTAGGTCACATACTTTTGACATAGTTGGGCCTTTTTGCAGAGACCCTATAGCCCAGTTCATCCAAAGCCCATGGAAGATCTTGGGACAGTCCTTTCATCAACGCTCCTTCTCTTAGCAATAAGCACATTGATCTTAATCTAGGGGAGGATGAGACTTTGCATCGGGCTGGGTGACTTTGTTGGCTTCTGGTCTTTAGGGTCCTCTCAGTTGTCCAATATCTTTTAAGCTATCTTTAATAACTGACTGAGGGGCATTCCATCAAATCCCTCAAACTTTTGCAATTTTCACTTAATATCAGGGGCCGACTGGGTTACAAAGGCAATATTAATGACCCTTGCATTTTAGGTGCTACTGGTATATAAATGTGATAGACCTTTTGCAATCTTTCCAGAAAACCCTGAGGGAGACTCATTAGCCAATTGTCTCACCTCTGCTACCGTGGGCAAATTGGTGGGTTTTCTGGGGTGCCCTTAAGGGCTTCTGAGGACAACTGGTGATACCATTCGAGAACCTCCTTATGTCTGGTTGTCCAATCAGGATGGGACAAAGGGAAACCACAGTTCTGGCATTCTGGATCAGAGGACAGGTTCCATCTGGATGGCATACTGCTTCTTTGTCCCAGGGTGCCATGTGGCAGGCCATTGTTCTACTGAAATTACATACTTAACTAAAAAGGGCTTTTCCATAGGCAACAAAATTAACTGCACCGCATAATCTCCCAGACATCCATAGCACATGAAAGAACTTGTATTTTATCTTGACAATCATCAGTCACACTAGGCACAACAGTTATTCCTTTTAAATTTAGATTAGCTTTTTCCAGCACAAGACCAACTGTTCCTTAAGGTGGGGGACTCCAAATTCCTGTTCCAGAAAGCATTTCCTCTTTCACATTCTGGAACAGCCAGACATTTTACTTTAAGACAAAACCTTTTTTTGTCTGTCTTTTTTTCTTTTTTTGTTTTTTACTTATTTTTAGTCAATTACCTTCTCCTTTGCTTTTCAGATAACATTAAAACCTTCAACAAAATCCTTCAAGTGACTTTCTTTTAGTAGTCTAAAACATATTTAGTCATTTTATGTCTTTTCAGCACATTAAAATGATACACTTTAAAGACTGTAACTTTTAAAACTGGTTCAATTACAGTTTGACCTGGTTTCACTTGGAAAAATTAATATTATTTTCAAAAACATATATATATATATATATATATATATATATATACACATTATATTCACATTTTAACCAGAAAGAAAAATACTTTTTAAAGGTATGCCGAGGTTGCAAGTAATCAACTGAGGACTAAAACATTAAACAAGGTGCCACAAAAGACAAGACCAACATTAAAGACACAAACGAAGGTCTTTCTGTCCACAGTTTGGCAAGTTAAAGGAAATAACTTTTATTGTGTACCTTGAGTCCAATCAGCCACATGGATCCTGCAACAGAAATGGGCAATGAGCCCCTAAGTTAGTAACAAATTCAAACAGGCAGACAACTCCAAAGTACAAAAACACTGAACATAAAGACAAACGGGCAAAAAGCCCCACAGTTACAAATGGGCAAAATCCCCAGATGGGCAGAAGCCCCAGGGTCTGAAGCCCCAAGTTATGAACAGCCAAAAGCCCTAAATTACAAGTGGGTGAAAAGCCCTTGGAAGGCGTCCCATTCCGTCTGCAGTTACAAATGTGTGCACCCAAATTACAAACAGGCAAAAAGACCCAAATACTTACAGATGTTTAGCCGATTGGTTGGTGAAAAATAATTTGGAGAGGTGTCCCCCAGTAATCCTGGACGAGCTCCCAAATGTTGTAGCCCAAAAATGAGCCCCCAAAATGGTGTCCAAAAAATGGGGCAAGACATCTTTTTTAAAGAAAAAGGAGTGCTTTTTATTTATCCTGGCACCAGCGACACAGTGCAGTTGGAGTTTACAAGGCTGTGTAACTCGCTTAAATTTTTGACAGACTTTTATAGAAAGGACAATTAAAAAGTAAATTAAGAAGACCTTTGTTTCCCTTTGCTTGAGGACAGAGAAGATTCCCAGGAATTTACAGTCCTTTGTCAGCTAATTTCAGCACTTAATTTTAGGTAACACCTGTCCTTTGCAGAGGGGAACAATGGTTAACATATCAATCAGGTCACCCAGGAAGACGGCGCATACAGAACAGTGTGATGGTGCTACAGTTATTTTACAACAATGTGGTCAGTGCCCCAGGGTGTCCAGTTGTAGAAAATAGTTGCATTTGTGGTTTAGAACTTCCGGGAGAACATGGCGGACAGATAACAGCAACTACCGGAGGCTCTCTGAAAGACTTGGCTCAGAAGCCAGGAATGGTGCGGACTAAGGAGACATAAGCAGGTGGAGATATGCTCTGCTGACTCAGGAACGAACTGGGCTGAGAGAAACCAACTTGGAATGCAGTCCTGGTGCTAAAACAGGAACAGAAAAGCCTCGGTGTGGAGGCTGGACCCCGCGCCATTGTAAGCCGCGATTTGGGTTTCCCGCCGTGCGGTGGCTGGCTGCCTCTACAGTGGCTCGCTGCCTCTACAGTGGCTCGGCAAGGAGAGAGACGCGCAGAAGCTCTGAGAACGGCAATCTGCGAATGGCAGGGAGGCGTGCACTGACTTGTGGTGAGGTGAGTGAGAGAAACTGACACTCTACCACAGTTTGACTCCAGCAGAGGACTTTCTGGGCCCGAGCAGTCCTGCGGGAGCAGGGCGCGGTGGCGACTCCAGCCACACATCCCCCTCTCGGGCGGGATTGGTGAAAAGTGCCTGGCCTGCGTGACGCTGCCGGCGGACCTGCTAGGCTGTCCCAACCCAGATCCCAGAGCCTGACGGTGGCTGGGAAGGGAGATGCGTAGGCTGCCTGGTCTGTAACTCCCTGGTGCGCAGCGCTGAGCGGGAACACCTAACTGGTGCAATTCGATCAGGCTGTGGCTGACTGGGAGAGAAGCTAGGCCTCTTATATAAGCTTGCATATATAAGGAACAGAGAAGAAGAGGCAGCATGGGAAGAGGCAGCAACAAGAAAGGCTCTTCGGCCCCCAATTCTGAGAAACAGGCAATAGCAGACACCGCACCAATACACATAAGGCGCCATATAGAGAGCCTCATAGACCAATTCAGGAATGAAGTTATCAACGACCTGAAGCTAGAAGTATGCAGAATAGTTAGAGAAATGCTAAGTACCACCCAAGAAAAAACAGGTGGTGGAATGGAAGAACAGAAAAAAAGGGGAGAATTGTTTGATGGAGAAAACAGAGAAAGCATAGAATGCGTGAAGCAGGTTCAAAGGGACTACCAAGATACTAAGAAGTCTATCCAAGACTGGCATAACAGCTTGAAAGAAACTAAGGACAGACTATCTGAACTGGAGGGCAGACTTGTAATATGGGAGAATGAAATGAAAAACTTCTTAAAAATAACAAAGAAACAAACAGCAATAATACAAAGACAAGAAGATGATAAGAGGAGCCATAACTTAAGGATTAAGAACATAAAAGAAGAAGTAGGGGCACAAACAAGTGAACTACAAAAGCTACTCACAGAAATAATCCAGGAGAATTTTCCTAATTTAGCAAAAGGTAAAGATACTCAGATGTATGAGGCATACAGGACCCCAGCTACCTACAACCCAAACAGAGCAACACCCAGGCATATAATAATAAAAATTCCAGAAATTCAATACAAGAACAGAATATTAAAAGCTGTAAGAGACAAGAAACAGACCACTTACAAGGGAACACCCATCAGAATTACAGCAGATTTCTCTGCACAAACCATCAAATCACGAAGAGCGTGGGGGGAAATAATTCAAGCTTTGAAAGATAATAATCTCCAGCCAAGATTGAGATATCCTGCACAACTGTCCCTGGAAATTGATGGAAAAACAAGGTGCTTCCAGGATAAAGAGGAACTGGGGGAATTTGCAACCACCAATTCAACTCTACAGAGAGTATTGCAGGATATTCTAAAAAAAGAAAAATACAAAGAATCCAGAAATAATGGCAGAGAGGCCACAACGAATGGAGCAGAGAACAAAATGAAGAAGACAAACTGACAGCTACTGACAGAAAAAGAGCTCAACAGAAATGAGGCAGAGAAGATTGGATGATAGGAACAGCTATTTTGGAGAAAATGACATCTTAATAGGTAATACTGATTTAGTATCATCTTGTTTTGAAGTCTCATCTAGCTTTTGTCCTTCTGTCTCCAATGGTCTAAATAGGCTGTATCTTATTGGATTTTATTATGTACGATAGTATAAGCAAAAACCTTTTAAAGACAAGGAGATTATACAGAAACCATTGGTCATTTTCTGTTAGTCGATTCTAAATACTCTGTAATGCTGTCATTCTCTTGAATGGTTTTACATTGTTTTGATATACTTAATGCTACAGTATACGAAGTTGTACTCAAGGATTTCAAAGAAAGACAATATGGTAACTACTTTTATGTTAGGATTATCTGGTGGTGAAACACTATTCTGCTTAAATGGTTATGTTTTGATCTGCGCTGTTTCGTTGTTATGCCCTCTTTTATCTCAATCTCCACTCCATTATTTACTTTTTTATCTTTATCCTTTTAATTAAAGGGAAAAAATAGCAGGATATATTATAGTAACCCACTTTGACTTTTCATTACCTTGATTTAAAGCCCTGTATTACTCTCACCATGTGGTTTTTAACTGATGTTCCCCTATTCTGTTTTGCTGGATAGTATCAGGTTCGAAAGTTTAGGCATCAGCTGTGAAGATAATGAGATTCATTATGACGCCCATTCTTGTTGACTTTTATCTACTTTTGAAGACCTACAATGTCTCCAATGTTTTGGTTTTGTCGGTTTTATTCTTTACTGTTTTGTTCAATTGTATTATAACTAACAATATAGGCAATTCTATTAAAGATAGCGGGAGGCATTATGGTAACCATTGATGATCACCTTGTATTATGTTTTTACATTATCTATTATGTCCACCCTTTTGACTTGACCGATTCTGTTCTGTTATGTCACATTTGGTTTTACTCTCTTCCAAAAAAGTAATAAGAACCATGGGAGCAATGAAACCCAAAATGTGTAATAGTCATGGTACAAAAGAGAGGAAAAGAAAGTGCTCCAAACTATATAACTGCATGTATATTTAAGTGTATAAGATAGAAAATGATATCACAGAGTTTTATTGGAGCAATGAACAGAACTGTTTGCAGTATCATAGATGGAATGTCCACTTTACAAGCTTTAATTTTGTGATTTGAACAATTATTTCTAAGATGACAATATGTAATCCATTAACTAGTGATTTCCTACTGTTCATTTTTTTTTCTGTAAATCTGTATAACTTGTACCCTTTCCCTGCTTTTTTTTTTCTTTTCTCCTTAAATAAAATTTTTTTTAAAAATTGCAAAAAAAAAAAAAAAAAAAAAAAGAAAATAGTTGCATTTGCAAAGGGAATTAACAAGTAATTTGGTCATATAACTTGGGCATTGGCAAACATAGTACAGGGTGATGAAGTTCTTTTTTGCTAGTGTACAGCAGGACCCATCTCACCTCATGGTTTGACCATAAAAGCTTCTAGAAAAGACAGAGTCTTTGGCAACACACTTAGGACTCCTTCTGTGTCTCTTTCAGACAGAAGCTTTCTTTCTCTCAATAAATATACTCTGCTCTTAACCTCCATTGTTCCTAAAACTCATTCTTTGATTTTAGAGAACACGAACTCGTACTGGACATATAGTAGGTCAGGAGTTTCATTCCCCTATCTCATCACCTTGTACTCATTTTGTAAGTTTTTATTCTCCTTTATAAAACTTCTTGGGGCTGAGGATTTAGCTCAGTGGCATAAGCACCTGCATTGCAGTGATGAATTCGATCCCCTGTACTGATAAAAAAAAAAAACTTCTCCCACAAAGTAGAGACGAGGGCAAGCCACTTTCGAGGTCCCCCTCCTGTCTCAGGAGGTGTCTCTCCCTCAATAAAATTTCTTACTCTTAACCTATGCTGTTCCTCAAAATTCATTCTACAAGTTCAGGAACACGAACTTGGCACATTCGACATGTAACAGGTTGGGAGTTACACTCATTTTGCTTCTATCATTTGGAGGTCCTATATCAAATTCAGTGAACCTTCAACTATTCCATGTTTAGAGTGGATCTCAAAAAGACAAAAACAAAAAAAATTTAAAGAGGATAAAACCAATCAAAACAAACCAGTACATGACACACAGGACTTTAAAACATTACAAGATCAATAATAGTTACCATAATGCCTCTTGATGTCTTCAAAATAGCTGCAGATAACTTTGGACATAGTAAAAATCAAACAGCAGAATAGAATAGAAATAATAAAAACAAAACAATGAATGCAATAAAGACTTCAAAACAAGCCAATAATAAATCCAAAATGGCTGCCATAATATATCTTGTTATCTTTGAAATAGCTGCTCCTACAATCGGACTTGACAAACAAAACCAAAGAGAATAAAACCCAACCCAACAGAACAATGGAAATGATACAGGACTTCTAAAACAAGACCAGAGGAAATCAACAATGGCTGCAACCCTCAGAAGGAGATCCCCTCTACATGTCACAATGTGCACCACTATCCTCTGAACCCATGATCAGACCACTGGCCCTAGACTTGCAATGTTAGTGAAACAACAAAGCACCACAGGCATCCAATTGCACTTCACCTCCATAGCTATCATCACAGCCTGCGTTTCCCCTGATAAGAGGATCCCTTGTTGGGGACATTGCTGGTACTTCTTGTTTGCTAGCCTGTGTGTTGGGAAGGGCTGGGGTCTGGCTGCTCCAGTCCAGTGGTGGCCTGTGCATGGCACAGGTTCCCAGATGGAGCCTGCTTGCTGGTGTGGCCTTCTGGTGTAAGTATTCTTGCTGTGGCAGATTTCAACCTACCAAAGTGACATCACTGGGGAGGAACTAGGAAAAGGTGCTGCCACAGGAGTATATTTTTAAAAAATTTTTTATTTTAAAGAGAATAAAACAAAAGAGGACAGAACAAAGCAAATCAGAATACAACAATGCAAACAACACAGCACTTCACAAGAAGACAACCGGATATTAACAGTAGCTACCATAATGTCTCTTTCTTGAAATAGTTGAGCGTACCTTCACACACAATATCAAACATAACAAAATAGTATAAAACCATTCAAAAGAATGAAAGTATTACAGGACTTCAAAACCAAATAACAGAAAATGAACAATGACTACTATAATATCTCATTTTCCATCAAAGGTTGTTTATACTATCATGCATATTAAAATCCAGTTAAGACACAACATGATAGAACCAATGGAAACAGAAGAACAAAAGCATAGTAGGAGTTCAAAGCAAAATGATATTAAATCAGCAATGGCTGCCATAATGTCTTGTTTTTTTCAAAATAGCTGTTCATACCATCACACATAATAAAATCAAACAAACCAGAACAAAACCATTCCAACTAATGAATGCACTGAGCTAAACCCCAGGCTTTAATTTAAATTATTGATAAGAGCTGTGTATAACAATTAGCTTACAAAATTTCTGAAAATGAATCAGTTGTCCTAAAGTCAGCATGAACTGTTTCTAGCACAGTAAGTCAGACATTTTATGTCCAGTGGCTCTGTAGACTGAAGAATGTTCTGCTATAATTCTCATCTCAGGCTGACATACTGATTTTACAGGGCAACACTTTTCTGAGTTTCTGAAAACCAGAAGTAAAAAGGCCTCAGAATTCCTGCTAGAACTTTCTGGCATCTGTACCCAACCTGGCTCTGTGGAAAGGATGAGAATGTGACTTTTCTTTGTTCTTTGCAGGTTGGAGGTGAGACACGTGCGTGTGTGAGTGTGTTATTATTTGAATACAGTTTATCTCTTCTGAGTCTTGTTGGTCTTTAACTCTGGAGTATGAGAAGATAAAAATCCTGGGCATGATGGCACATATTTTTAATCCCAACTCTCTGGGAGGCTGAGGCAAGAGGATCACAAGTTCATGACTGGCTTGGTCTAATTAGCAATTTAGTGAGAACCTGTCTCAAGGTAAAAAGTAAAAAGGGCTAGGTGTGCGGCTCAGTGTGAAGGCCTTGGGTTCAAATCCCATCTCTCTCTCTCTCTCTCTCTCTCTCTCTCTCTCTCTCTCTCACACACACACACACACACACACACACACACAGAAAAGTGAAAACTTAGTCTGAGTTTGGTGTTTAGAGGTGAGGCCTTAAGAGGTGACTAGGAGCAGACAAAGGCATAAAGTTGAGCCCTGATGATTGAATCCTAGTGGGTATTTCTCTTTCTCTCTTTCTTTTTTTTTTTTTTCCTTTTTGGTATTTTTCATTTTTATTGGTTCCGGGGATCGAACTCACGACTGCCTGCTTGCAAGGCAGGTGCTTATGCCACTGAGCTAAATCCCCAGCCCCCTCTCTCTCTTTCTATACACACACACACACACACACACACACACACACACAGAGAGAGAGAGAGAGAGAGAGAGAGAGAGAGAGAGAGAGAAATACTTCAGTTCTCAATGCTTCAGCTTGTAAACAAAAGCATTCAGCAAAATTTTGCTTTTATTCACAAACTTTGTGAGGAACACAACCATAGCCATCTTCCCCAAAATTGTAAGACAAATTAAGTTTGTGGTCCTAGGTGCCGCCATATATGACAGTGGGGCAGAGAGCCAAGAGAGAGGGAGAGCAGAAGAGCCAGAGTCACATCCTCCCTGTGTCTTGCCTCGCTAGACCCTGCACCATGGGATTCTGCCAGTGTGGAGGCCCTAACCATTGTCTAGCATGCCTGAGAGAGTATTTGCAGGTTGCATTCATTTGTAAGTCCAACAAAATGAGTCTGAAACACCTTCATCACCAATATACAATGACAAGCATAAAAA